AATGGTGTAGTTCATCTGCTTCTTCTGAGATAGCTTAAGGGTTGGTTCAGTGAGAAACTGTTCAGCTTCTATGCTATTTCCATCATACTGTGAGAATGTGAGAGGGCTGAAGATAATGTCTATTATAAACTACTGGGCATAGTGCTGGATCCTGAGGAAAAGTCAGGATTTCAAATGGGCTAAGGTATTTTCTGGGACATGTCATCTTTAATAAATTCTTCAAATCGAGGTCACATTCATATTAAATAGCCAGGGAAAATCCCGTGCCCTAAATGACAGCCCTGCCAGAGGCGGGCACAAGTGATGATCATATACCGGATTTGAACAGGCTTGTCTTAAAATGTTCAGATGTCTAGCAGGTTGTCTCAGGGTTGGGGGGATGGTCCGAAGTTTTGATTATGATCTGGCCATCAATTGAAGTCAGTGTATTAAGATGCACATTACAAGATTTACCTTTCATGGCAGCCATTATATTGGAATCCAAAAGTTTTCGTCCATTCTTGCCACAAGTGTCGCTTTCTGGAAGGGTGTTCTAAAAACATCACACCTATGAGACGGAGGAAAATGGTGTTGGATTTTTTGTTGCCTTTTTCACTTTCTCTAAAGTTGGTGGGAAATGCAAATGAGGGAAAAGAAGGCCCTTAGCAAAACTGCAAAAATTGTAAAAACTCTAAAAACTTACAAAAACTGCAACATTTCTCAAGATTTAATAGATAACTTCACAAGTGAACGAGCCATAAAACAATACCTTATTTACAGGGGATCAATCACAATAACATTTAATTTTTTTCCAAACTAAATGATTACAAATGGAGATACTCACATGTCTTTTTACTCCAATTTTAGTAAGTACCCACAGTAATGTGTTCTTTTAAACAGTTCAAAGACTTACAAGAACAGGTTTATAAGCTTATGGCCATATTCTTTAATTTGTTGAAAAATGTCCAATAGTTATTCAAATAGTTCATAACTTAAGTGATAACCACTCTTGAGTATGATTGGGGATCTTGGGACTGCACTCACAGAAGTGTAAAATCCTTGTTACAAAGCAAAATTAAAATACAACCTGCAAGGAGAAAAGACTATTTGAAGCAGGTTGTGTAAAAATAAGTAAATAAAATGAAGTAAATATAAATAATTAGGTAGAATCATAAAAACAGAATGTGAAGGGAAAAAAGTGTTATAAGTAAGAGGAAGACTAATTAGGTAAGAAGACAAAACAGCACAATAAATTTACACAAAAAGGGGTAAAAATTAACATTTTTGAGATCCCCTTCCCATACTTGAGAGTTTCGTCGTGCTTTCAACTGCCAGCAGTAGTTAACATTGAGTCAAAGGTTATCAAGGTCTGATTCATAACTAATTCTTATAGGGTTTCCATCCGGCGAAGTCTTCACAAAAGCTTTCCCGTCAGTAGTCCAAACTCCCAGTAGTAATCAGTCACTCTTCTTATCTGTCGCCTTTTTCACCAATCTTTGGGGAAATGCTGTTGGATTTTCATTTATAAAGATGTGTTCCGAGGCCACTCTAGCTGGCACAGAGGCACTTGGAAATAACTCTGACAACTAAACATTCTTCAGTCCTACTCTGTTCTTGTAAAGCGCTCTCTTAACCCGGTGGCTGACAATCCTTGCTATGATAGGATTCGGGTTTTTTCTTTTAATTTGGTGGCAGATATGAATATCTTCAGCTTTTACATCAACATTTAACACTTGAGCAATTTTTAACACTGCCTCTTCGCTCTCCCAAACATCCTCTGGAATTCCAAAAATTTCCATGGAGTTCCGTCCTGAGCTGCTTGTTGCTCTCAACCGCACCTTTTAGCGCCTCTTGTGTGTTTTTCAACTTAGTTTCTTGCGTCTTGAAGGAATATGCTATATCTATCTCAAGTTTATTCATTGAGTTTTGGATGCTTTGTAATATTCCATGAATATCTGCAAGAGTAGGAGTGGAGTGAACATCTTTTGGCTCTGTCAGTTCTTCTGACGCAGACGCCACCATGCTGAGACGTTTTGAAGTGTTTACCTTTGACTTATCTTCAGTGGAACCACGGTCCCCTTGTTTGTTGTTCTTAACCATATATGAAGTTTGCTCTTAAATGATATCTTTCATGCTGGTAAATGGCTCTTTCCCAAGGATTATACCTATTTGAGGGATGGCAACTCTGCACTCTCAAAAAACGTGGCCACCTTTGGCCAACTCATGCATGCTCTTGGTATTGCATTCCAGTATTTGGCTCCAAATTCTCAGAAGGAAGACTTTTGTTTTTCTTATCTTTGAGGGATCACTACCCAAACTTCCTTGCCCAGCACCATTGGGTCATTTGTCTACATGCTGTGTCTATAGAGTTTGTCTTTGGGCCCATCGCATGGTAGTTTTTATTGTCATTGATGCTTCTGTCGATACTAAGTGGTCTGCAAGACCCATTTATTGGTACATTCCACTACTGAATGGAACCTTGGATGCTGAGTAATACATGTTGGTTGTTCTTGGAATTCACCACTAGTAACTACTTAATCTATAAGCTTATTCTTAGCCTTTTCATTTCTTAGAAGCATATGCATGCTTCCTTCTTCCCATTCCTTTTCTATCTCATGGGAAGCAAAAGCCAAATTGTTTTGCACTTAAAAATTATGGATTTCTTTGGGTGCAAGACAACTGATTATACTAGTTAAGAAAAGAAGCACACCAGCAGTGTTAACAATTCAATTTAATTTATTTTAATATTTTAAATTTACTTTAAATTATTTTAATTTATTTTATTAGCAAGGTGGAAGAATAATAATAAATTACTATCTAGTGAACAGGTACAGCACATACCAGACATATGGTTTAATTTGCTTCTTCTTTACCTTCCTTGGACTTGTCACAAGGCAGGCTTTCAGTTTTTTGTCCCATAATCTAACATTTAACAGTGATTAACCAAGAAATAAATACAGGGTCAAGACTGTGTAGAGGGATTTTGTGGGGCCTCTTAATGGTTGCTTTCTTATCACAACCACCTCTTTTTCTGGTTTTGGCCAATGAAAGACACTGACTGGGACAATCCATTGACGGCCGTCCCATTCAAAGTCTATAAATTGACATTTAATCTTGATAGCCCAAGCAATAAATAGGGATTCAAGACTATATGAAGGGATGTTGAGAACCCTCATGCTGGTTACTTGCCCATTGCAACCAATAGTCTCCCTGGAAGGTCTTCCTGTGGGTTCTGGGAACAGGGAGGACCTCAGTTAGAAGATTGTTGGCTCCCAAGAAGAAGTCAGAGTGCCACTTTATATGTAGTTCCCCAGTTATTGGGTTTTTGGGTTCTCAGTGCTTTAGAACCAAGAGGAGAAGGTAGATATACCTATTGACAGATTTCACTGATGCCTCAAACCTCAGCTAGCAGGGCTGGAATGCTGTCTGTAGCGTTTTTGGCGTTGCCTTTACTCTTTCACAGCAAGGGGTCTTTGTTGTCATTGGCCAAATCTCAATGAAAGACGTCATTTTATCCAGGCATTGTTCACAATCGCTGGCAGTTTGGTAAATTTTTCATGTATTTTTTGCATGTGTCAATCGTTGGTAAAGCAGATGTACTGGCTAGTAAGGCGTGTGGGTAAATCTCTGCGGAGAGGTCCAGGCATTCTGTACATTGATCAATTCAGGGTGAGGTAAACCATCTGGGGTCTAGGGACTTGTCTTCTAGCCCTTGAGGCAAATGTGTTTTGATGTTCAGAGCATTAGCTTTGGAGCTTTCATGTTAGAAATTAACAGTTAAAATATCAAGTTCAATTTACAACATAGCTAGAGCACTGGGCAAGCAACCTCTGTTCCTTACATAAGGAATTATTTATGCGTATACGAGAAAAGCAAGTGTTCAAATGAATTTCAGGGTTTTTCCATAAATATGAAGGTTAGATTTTCTGATGATCTTGAAGCTCAGCAATATTCTCTCCATCTTCGTCTTGCAATTTACAACACAGGAAAGAAGGCCTCTTTTTTTATCATTGTATTTGCAGTTGTCATAAACTGGCACTAATTGTTGTCTTTCTCTGTGACTTAAGTGAGGAATAGCTTGTTGAGAAAGCATTTGTCTTTACCTTAATCTTTGCTAACTAATTCCAATTTGCAACAAATCGGAAGTCACTCTCATTGTCTTGAAAATGAGAATGTCCCTCGACAACTATAAACTGTTTAAAATGAAAATGAAGTGGGTGTCCCACTTCCATCGTCCTTACTTGTCAATGACACGGTTCCACGTGCATCACAAATCAAGGCCACTCTGCCTCTCTTTTCAATACACTTGAAAGGGTAAATCTCTCTTGCTTGCCTCTTGTGCTACTCTTGCAGGGGAGAAATGCTATCTGCTGCTTTCTACGTCTAATGTTTTTCCTGAAATTTCTTTCAGAAAGATTATACCCTTCCCTACTCTCACCTTTTAGCAATTCTATCCTTTACCTCGGAAAAGAAAGGAAGAGCCAAAGGATCCGCGTTGTTCCTTACAGTTGTTTTAATTACAATACAGTTGTTTTACCCTTAACTACCTAGTGTCCATGAAAAATTAATATTAACCTGAAAACTTAGCTTGAGTTGAAATAACATAAAAAAATATCATCAGTCAAAGCATTTCTTCTGACAAAGCATGTGTTTCAGTCACTTGACTTGCAGCTCTCCCCTTGGTATTAGTTTAATCTTAGATTTTACTCTCTCCAATGAATGTTCTCTGATCTTTGTCGTTTCTTGTTTTCCTGAGTTGCCGGTTTTCCTTTTCAATTCTGTGTCTTTCGTGCAGACTCTGTCGCCAGAGTTTGTTTCATACAGAAAACCCTTGGGGTGTGTGGTATTAAAAATGTTGAGNCCAACCTCGTCCCCAGGGCTTTTCCCTCAAAAAATGGGTGGGGCCGGGAAAAGGCCCTGGCATCGGCTGGTCACGTGTCTATCTTACACCCTGAAATCCTGGGTGTAATAAATTTGCCAGGTTTTGCCAGGTTTGCATAAATTAAAAGTGACAAACCAAGATGGCGGAGACATTGTCTGCGATAAGCGTGCTTAGTCGACTTGGATCTGCCTTTAATCGTTGTAACTTTCCGTCGTTCTGTTTAAAACCGCTTCAGGTTAAATGCTTTGAATGCTTACTGAAAGGCCAAGATATTATTGCTGTTCTACCGACCGGTTTCGGCAAATCTCTGCTGTTTCAGCTCCTACCGGACTTCTTGCCTGTCAAAGCAGACAAGAATATTGTGATAGTTGTTTGTCCTTTAAACTCTATTATAGAGGACCAACTTAAAGTGCTGCAGAAAAGAGGAATTACTGCTGATGTTCTCCAGCTAAACCACGACGAGCGGGAAGCGATTGACAGTTTGTTCAATTATTCAGAGCTAGCGGACGAAAGCCCTGAACGATCTTTAAGCAATCCAAGTGCGAGACTAATGAATGGAGATGTCCAGATTGTGTTCGCACATCCAGAGGCTCTTTTGAGTAAGGAAGGACGCCAACTGATGAACAGCAAGGTTTTTCAAAGGAATGTGGTTGCATGTGTGGTCGACGAAGCTCATTGCGTGGAAATATGGTAAGGTTTTTAGACAGCGCACATAACACGTGCAAAGTGTAAATCGGGCCAGACAGGCAGACAGGCTCGGTTAAGCGGCTGAATTGCATATTTTATTAGGTGTCTTATGAACGAAAAAGTCCGATAATGGATACTTAATCGCGAGAAATGCCAAATTTTATGAATTGGCCTTACATTTTCTTCATGCACTATGATAATAATTTTGGTATAAGCCTGATGGCAACATAATAATAATTTTAACTCTATTGTAACTTAGGGGTGAAGATTTCAGGAAGGACTTTAAAGACCTGTCAGCTCTTAAAGCGTTTTTTCCAACTGTACCAGTCATGGCCCTTACAGCCACAGCACCACCGCAGATGTTGAAAAACCTTAAACACAGTTTGTCATTGAAGACTGACTGTAAGGTTATTGCAGCCAACCCAAATCGGAGTAACATCTATTTGGAAAAGAAAGTGAGGATGAGCAACCACCATGGCTATGAAGGTTTTGACCAGATCCTTGTACCAATTGCAAATGACCTGGCTTTGCAGAGGGAGAGGTATCCCATGACAATTATATACTTGAAACTTAAGTACTGTGGCTATGCCTATGGATTGTTTGAAAGGATCTTGGCTGATAAGCAGTTTGTGGGGGAAACAAAAGATCCATCTGGAAGGCTATTTGCCCAATTTCATGCTCCCCAAACAAAACGTATGAAGAAGAGTATAATTTCCGAAATAAAAGAAGAGAACTCGCGAATACGTGTTTTGTTTGCCACATCAGCCCTTGGTATGGGTGTAAATGCTCCCTATGTGGAACACATTATACACATCTCCCCACCAAGCAACTTGGAATCGTACATGCAGGAGATTGGACGTGCAGGCAGAACAGGAAAACCTGCCTGTGCTACATTGTTTTATAACAATTCTGACATTGCTAGCAACAAGGTGCATGTGCAAGAACAAATGAAGGATTATTGTAGATCTGAAGAATCATGTCTTAGGACTTTAATTTTGAAGTACCTAGGATTTTCAAGTGTTACTCAGGAAAGATGTTGCTGTGTTTGTGATGGGCAATGTAATATGTCTGTTAGCAGTGCCCCCAAGGTAATGAAAACTAAAGTCAGAGAAGTGCCAGCTAATAACAAGCCAGTCCTTGAAGGGCTCATTTCCAGTGAGATAACGTACTTTGAGGCTCTGAACGATTTAACTGGTCTGATGCTCTTTACCTACAAAAGTGAAAGCAATCTTGCCCAAAAGATTATGGAAGGGATTGAATTTATCAAAACAGAACCAGACTTGCTTGATACTTTCGGCATATGGGACGAGACCTGTTCATCAAAGATCTTTTCTTTAATAACTCATTATGCCCCTCTCATTCAAGTTGAAGCAAGTCATTCATAAGTCATGACATCTGTACAGTGAGAGTTGTTGCTGGGATAATTAGCTGATGACATAAGTGTATATCCCATAAACTGCTGCTCATAAGGTTTACAAGAGCTTATAAACAGAGGGGCTAGAAAATCACTTTGAAATAAGCTTTTAAGATTAGCATAGCATACAGTTGGCATTTATTGGTTTTAAATTAAGCTTCAAAATGTCATTCTAAACTCAATTTATTTGGAGAGGGACTTATTACCAGGTGTACTCTTTGTTTACAGGTAAATGGGGTAATATAGGGGGCTTTTACATAGGGGAGCTTAAAAGCGGCAGTTTATGGTATAATACAGTGTATAATTCTCTCGGGAAGCCAATCTGTTTGAGGCATTTGTGATGAAAAGTGAACTGTCTAAAACATCCAGGAGTCTTAACAAATAAATATTATATGATAGAAGCCACAAGCCATAAATAGGTTGCCCATGCTGAATTCAGCATTTTTTGACGTTCATTTTCAATAATTTTTGTGATTGTTATGAGGAAATGTATTGCAATTGCCCACCAACCACTATCAATAATTGGCAATTTGCAACAGGTCTCAGCAAAACTATTAACTTTTGTTGTATTCAGCATGATAAATCTATTTGTTACCCTTTATTAATATAAAAGAGCTATATATTATTCTTGTTTCTGTATAGAGTTGTGAATATCCTTTCCATTTAAAGACAATTGGCTACATTTCAGGAACAGCCTCAGGCAAAAACCATTAGCTATGCAGTTCTAAGGTAAAGTTTTCTTAAATTAAAAATTCACCAAAAGTACTTTGACTCAATGGGAATTTTTTTGCATACAAAAATTATCCGCTCGTCATGAATTTCTTATTTATTTTGCCTCACTGTAACTGTAAGTGATAAAATGTCATTGCGTGATCATTTTTCTTATTTACAGGAGCAGCAATTTTTTATCTTATGGTGATTATTTTCACAGTCCCCTGATGAGTGATGAGCTTGCTTAAAAATGATCAAGGCACATGTCTCTCCATTAACACTAAATAAAATTCCCAAAGAATCAACTCCCATTTTTTTGGTATTGCAATAGCTTAACATTAATAACTGTTAACTATTCGCTCACCGTGAATTTCTTATTTATTTTGCCTCACTGCAACTGTAAGTGATAAAATGTCATTGCCTGATCATTTTTATTATTTACAGGAGCTGAAATTTTACACTGTTAAGCTAGATTTCAGAACACATCCATGGCTGTCACTCGGGGCCCAGGTGGGGGGGGGGGGGGGGGGGGAGTTGGGGCAGTGATTTTACCTGGCTACTATAAGCAGGACCCCAGGCAATTTTTGTAGGAAACAAAAGGAAAATGAGATTAAAAGAATTCCCTGGGTGTTCATTAATTATTCATTACCTACTAAAAAATTGCAAATACCCGGCAACTTGAAATCTTAGTGACAGCCCTAACATCTATAGCATGAATCAACGTCACTGACCAAGCTAATTCCTGAGGGGACTGCCAAATAGAGCTTTGACTGTAATAACAGCAGCGTTGTTATGACAACCCAAGGTCCAACAAAGAGATATTCTTATGAATATTGAAAATAATTACCTACTAATACACAAAATCAATGTCACGGCATATGCAAGAAAAGTACAAATATTCAGCTCTAATACAAATAAAGTTAGTTAAGTAACCTTTGATAATTTTGTCACATAATTCTATTAAATTCTATGTAAAGTGGTCCTTAGAATAATAATGCAATTGAGCCACAAAACTTATTTGGAAGTCACAGATGTTGCTTCTGACTTCATGACAATAAAAATGGGCGAAACTATATTTTAGTTATTCACATAAACCTAACACTGTATGACCCCTCTAAGGCAAGTTATGGGCTTGGGTACAAACCATGCAACTGACATTCTCACCTCCAAAGCCAGATTGTTTGAACAGACCTTTCCTGCATTCCTGTGAACGAAGGCACCAAGGCAAGGCTTTTGCTGGCAGAATAATATATACATTGTTCAACAAAACCCTCGACTTTACCAGGGTTTGCTCAGTGACAGGAGTGGATTGCAAGATAGTTCTATCATCTGACCTTTTTGGGTTTACGTTTATATGATTCAAATTTCCATAACTAAATCCCTGTTTATTTTTTAACCAGGATGTAATTATGTACCAGGTGTTTGTGTCTTTGTAACCAAAGAAACTACAAAAATGGTTTGCTTGCAACCTCGTCCCCAGGGCTTTTCCCTTAAAAAATGGCCCACCCATTTTTTAAGGGAAAAGCCCTGGGGACGAGGTTGGTTTGCTTGAGTTTTTTCAGTTAAAATGGCTATGCTAACAGCACAATAACCAGTCCTAACTGTTGGCAAAACTGAAAATAAGTTGACAACGTTATTTCCTTTCCTGATACATCACTAAGCATTGCTTTGATCCAAGCCCTACTGTCTTGTTACATTGGCTAGCAAAGTCCCAGAAACAACTATGTTCTATTGGACAGTTCCTGTTTGTGTTTGTCCAACCACTGATGAAACTCTACAATGTTTAAGTATCTCAATGGGCATCTTTTGATGTCAGGAAAGCTGTCATGGCATCGTTCTGGTACTTTATTAAATGGATTCAATGCCATAAGATCATTGATCATTTCGAGTTCATCTTTCAGCGAGTCTCTTGTGGTGTGCTGCACTGAAGACTTGTGCAAGCCGACTGATCTGTCAAACTGCTCCTCAACTTCTGTGATGCCATTTGTGGCTTTACACACTTTGCTGATTGACTGCAGGGTTTTATTTGGCCCCATTCTCTGCACAATGCTCTTGCTCAGCCTGTTTTGAATTTCCTGGGCAAGATCATCTTCAATGTTCTTGCCATCACCACCTCTCCAGTTGACAAAAAAGCCCCATTTAAATTCTTCGGCAAGACGTGGGGTTAACATGCACTCAATCTGAGCAATACTGATAAACATTTCAATGGCGTATTTGCTGTAAGTCCCCATTGACTTAAAAACAGACAGTAACAACTTCTGATTAATCAAATTTCTTTCTCCATCTGCCTCAGCTGCAGTGTCTTTCATCTGCAGAAGAAGAATGGTGAGGAAGATGAAACACAATCCATAATTTGTCACAAAATCATCCTCCTCAATCACATCTGCACTAGCATTTTTTTGGAAAAGAAACTCATCCATGAATCTTCCAAAAATATCATCAAATGCCTTTTTTTTGTTTTCCAAAGTTTCTTGGCGAATGTTTGCAGGGAATGTATTTTTAGAGGGCAGATCTTCAACAGTTGACATTCCAAAGAAGGCAAGAGCAGCAGAAATAATATAAGCACGCCCAACACTGATAAACAACTCTTCACTCCCTTCATAAGAGTCTAGCACCTTTGATGGGGTTGAATTACGACGATTAAATTTTTCTCTGAAATACTTGAGGGTTCCCACTTGGTTTACAGATTCTGCCTTGTGAAGAAATGAATATGAATACTGAAGCAGTGATGCCTTTGTGTGCCACATGACTGGTTTAAAAGGTGAGCAGTGCTCAAAACGGTCTGATGGAGTATGTGACCCTGATAACAAATCTTTTGCACCAGCGAACCTCACTCTAGTCAACTGATCCCCTGCGAATGCCATTTTCATTTCACGCATGGGATCACCAGGGGTGTCTTCTCTATGTGCGTCAGGCTGCCCTGGTGCTGCTGGCCCATCCGGTACTGGAGGGTTGTCAACTTCGGGAACTGCATCAAGTAAACCTGCTTTGACATAAATCTCTGCAATCCACTTTTCATAGCTTCTCAGAATGTGGACACAGTCCTCGTATTTAGCCTCATTTGCATCAATTATAGGCAAGCTCACAATGGTTGACTTCTTTGCCATTTCTTTAGAGTACCTGTGAGGAATGTGGGCAGGTAGCACTGACTTGATCCACTTGAATTTGGGCAGGAATTCACATATGATTCTCCCAACAAGTACTTTCGCAGAATCTGCATACATTTTCCATTCGCCAACATTTAAGGAAAATTTGTGCCGTGGAAAACAGACAATGTCAGCTTTTGGATGGTCATTTGGCAGATGTGCAAAGTTCACTCTATTCTCGATAAGGTTGGAGGCAAACAGGTGAAGATCTTCATTCTGAATGTCCTTTCTCATGTGCCCCTTTAATACCTTCAGGTCCCAGTTGTCACCTGTTCCTCTGAAGACGCTTCCAGACTTTACACGTTCAACTACTTTGTCTGCAAAGTGCCCACCCAGAAGTTTAAGCAAAACATCTCGTCTGCCATGGGATAGACAAACACCAAGTCTGTTCAATCGTTCTTGAAGCTGCATAGAAATGGGACATTGAAGTTCATTAGAATGAAAAAATACTTAAATGTTACAAACAAGGTAATCTCACACAGAGACAAAACCATCCTCACATACACGTCTAGCATCTTTAAAGCTTACACTGACACAAAATCAAATCAAGAACAACACAACAAATTACTGTTGAACTTCATGCAACAACACAATAAAATGCATGGGACTAATGCACTGGTTTGAAATTTTATGATCTAGTCAGAAGTCCATCCATCAGGTTCTTATTTTCTACTACTTTAATATTCAAGGAAGTATGGATTTGAATAAAATATAAGAAATGTCACAGTTAAGGTACGTATGAAATAGATCGGTAATTTATGTAAACTAGTAATAATAATTGGAAATCGGGGGAGTGCATTCGATTGGAAGGGAGGTTGCTGGGTATTGAGTGGCAGTAGTAATGGGTGCAAAACTTGATGAGCTTGTCAGATTTAAAATTCAAACTCAAATATAATAAGCTTACATCTATTTAAAATGTGGTAAGCATGCCTTCGTCTCACATCTTCCACCAAACACAATTATGAACATTCTAGATAAAGAATTTCATGCTGACTGTTTTCATACAAATAATACAATTGGTGTGTATTTTGGGCTTTCATTCTGGATGTTTACAAAGTCTCAAAAATTGTGCCTTCTTTCAAAATTGGGTAGCGAAGAGCAAGACCTCCACATGAACCTGTACAAATACACAAAAACAGTACAAACCTTCTTGGTACATCCACCCTCAATAATCAGTATTGTGTTAACGCGTTTCAAGAGACTCAGTTCATGCCATCTTTCGTTCATAAGAACCGAGTACAGAAAGCAGAACTTGACACGCACATCAAGATCGGTGTTTTCCATTCCTAAGTTCTTTCCAGACACGGCATTCATTATCTCTATGAAAAAGGGCACATTAGTTTTCATTTCTGTCCAAACGCGATCAAAATCAAATTCCTTCAAAGTCTCGAAGCTGTTCCTGTTGCTATATAAAACCGAGCCATCGGAGCGTCTGCATAACGTTTGACAAGCTGCGGCTATTTCATCTTTGATGGACTCTTTGATGGCCAATTTTAGGGCTGCAATCACACTCGGGCAACGTTGCTTTATGACATCGGCAATGACAGCTGGTTGTGTGTTTGCTACCCGAATGAATTCTTCAGTGTCACCATCGATGAGTTTGGAAGCGTCGGGCAGCGAAGGTGTTTCATCCCGAAGAACAGATGCTAGAGGCAGAAACGATTGATTAGCCTCTCTCATGGGTTCTGGTTGTATGGCTTGAGCTGGAGCCTCTCCGAAATTGAGTTGCTTGGAAGAGCTTTCTGCGAAACGACGGAGCTCGCTGGTTGAGCGCTTTGAAGGCGGCTTGCACGATGGGGACAGCTCGACACAACGCTTCACTGAACACTGTTGTTCCAGCTGTATTTGCATTTGCATGCACCTTTGTCTGAAGTCACTCGCCCTGGACACAAATCCATCGCACTTCCTGCATATAAGCGTCGAGAGGGAATCACTTTCGGTTATGTCGATTCCACACACATTTCGAATCTTCGAGGCAAGATCTTCCTTACTGCCTTCCTTTTTACTCGCTCTACCGAAAACACGAGTCAAGTGACGGCTCTCAAATGCATCGCAGCAAAGCCGGCAAATCAATTTTCGAGGATGAACCTTTTTAGGAGTTGATTCCTCCATAAATTTCCGTCAATTACAGAATTTTGCTCTTTCAAAGAAGCCAGAATGGTGAGTTTCGCGTGGAGATTTCCTCCATGTCCGGGGAAAATTAATCACAAATCAATAGACTAATGTATTTTTCTGAAAAGCCGTCAACCAATGAGGATGCAGAATTGACCACAGGAATTCATACATTACCGTTGATATGAATATTTGATGAGCACACGTGACCAGCCGATGCCAGGGCCTTTTCCCGGCCCCACCCATTTTTTGAGGGAAAAGCCCTGGGGACGAGGTTGTCGCAGAACCTGTCCATTTATGAAAGGCTTATTTTGTTAGCAGAAATATTGGGTACAAATAAATCAGCTCTTTGCGTGATTGCCAGCCTTGCATTCAATTTTGTTTTAATTCCCACTTCAGGTGACGTCTGGCATTAGCATCTCTACATTAGAGATCCGGCAAGAAGGAACCAGTCCGTCTGTCGGTTTTAGTTACGCGTTGAGGGGACCTCTGCATTCAAGGGTTTTATTAAAAGTAAGGCTGTGCAGTTATGACTATCATGTTACAAAACACTTTTAACTACGATATTTACACAATCCAAATTTCATTCTAGAATAATTAAGCGTACTAACTGTTATCACAAATTAAAGGACCTGTGTCACAAAATTCAGCCAAATTAGGAAATTACAAAATTCCCCGTTAAATTAAGAGAAATATAAAAATAGCCGCTTAAAACTTTAAAGGAAGGTTAAAATAACATAACAGAAACAACAGATGCCACCCATGGGCAAAACTGAAGAGGATTGAAACGGATTGAAATTAGCCAAAGCCCCTTGAAAACTGTTCAGGCTAACAGTTTTTCAAAGTTGATCCCTGCTGCTTGCAGCTTCAAAAATAATGCTCAGGAGACATATTTGTTTGTCTCGGATCTCTGATTTTATCATTTACCTGTAATTTCTTTGTTTACTTTAAGTTCCATAGCGATTGAGGGCGAGTAATTGGCAAAATTAAACAAAATGAACTTGACTGCCGTGACACAACCCCTTTAAATTATACCATATTCTTAACACATACCCTCGTCCCCAAATTGATATGATACCATTATAAACATATGGTAAAAGATAACTGCTTGAGGTTCAGTTGGGCCGCGAGCAGTCGCGATAGCCCCCCAACCCTTAGACCCTATGTGCTGCAACGCCGACAAGATAATCGATAGTGATTTTATAGCAGACAGCAGCAGAAAGAACTGCAAAATTTATATCGAAATGAAATGCTATTACTTTCTTATTATATAATTATCTTCTTTGACGGACGCTACCAATCCGAGAGGTGGAAACTCACCTTTTAGGAGGCCTCTCTTGAAGCATGTACTCAACTCCTGAATCATCGCCCATACTGTTTATGTTCTGTCTGGCTTATCACGCAATACGAAATTAAAAGATCGAGCAGTTTTAGCTGCAAACAGGTGCAAGATTAATGTCAAGACAGCAAATCCAACCGGCAGCATTGACCTCTCATGGGCTACTTCAAGTTCTTGTGTGACTGTTGTTGAAAGGATGTATTATAACTGATAAAAAGCTGTAACCGATTCCCAAGGGAACAACTCTGTAACGAAGCGCTGCTGAAAATGTTTATTGCAAATGTATGCAAATATCCGAATGTGTCAATAGTTCAATATCCTCCTTGCATACTTATTAAGTAAGTAAGTAAGTAAGTACTTTTATTTAACCACATATCGCATATGAGCGATAGCTCGTTTAAATGCAAATGTGCCATAAAAATTACAACGTGATAATTTACATAATCTACATGTACAAGTGATAAATAAAAATAAGAAATAGAGAAATTAAATCAACTAAAAAATAATAATAATTTAAAAAGAGAAAATACTGGTAATCAGATTGTCTATTTACAAAATACACAGTTGCAGTCATACGATGAAGACAACTGTATGTTTTGTAAGTTTTTCCTAAAGATGGAGAGGGACTCCGACATCCTTATTTTGTCTGGTAGATTGTTCCATTGTTTGCCGGCCGGGTACGTGAAAGAATGTTGCATATAAGATGAGGTCGGTCTTGGAAGAACAACCTTAAGATGGCCCCGTAGGCTGTAACCATTGCTTCGCAGTAAAAACATTTCCCGAATGTAGTTCGGTGCCTGGTTATAAATGCTATTGTATACGAGTATCAGTGCTTGTTCTATGCGTCGATGTTCCAAGCTTTTGATATGTACAGTTTTAAGTAGCTCTTGATAAGCAGTCGATTTAGAGTAGTTAAGAAGAGTCCTAAGAGCAAATGCGTTTTATCATTTTAGTTATGGGAAGTCACCCCAGACGAGCAAGTCGATGGGAAAGACACCTACAAGGTGCTAATAAAGTAAGCAGAAGGGGCGGGTGCAGAGATTCCAACCCCTGGAGATCTAAAATCTGGAGATTCTCTCTTTTTGACTACCCCCCCCCCCCCCCCCC